GACGGCATGGCCCCCTGACGGCATGGCCCCCAGACGAGATGGCCCCCAGATGAGATGGCCCCCTGACCGGATGGCCCCCTGACGGGATGGCCCCCTGATGGCATGGCCCCCCGACAGCATGGCTCCCTGATGGCATGGCCCCCCGATGGGATGGCCCCCTGACGGGATGGCCCCCAACTGCATGTCCCGCAGACGAGATGGCCCCCAGACGAGATGGCCCCCAATGCATGTCCCGCAGACGAGATGGCCCCCAGACGAGATGGCCCCCTGACGGCATGGCCCCCAGACGGGATGGCCCCCAGACAAGATGGCCCCCTGACAGCATGGCCCCCTGGGCGGCGAGCCCCGTTCCTGTCACCAAGTGGAGCAAGTCTGTCTCTCTGGGTGGAAACGTATCAAATGCCAAATGTTCAGAAATCTGCAGCAGCTTGTAGTTTTTACTAAAGAGAAATCCTCCAACTACAGCGCAGGGCATTCTGGGTAAATGCAACCAAAGCTAACTTGCTAGCCTTGCTTTAGCAGCAGAAATGGCTCCTGGTCTTTAGCCTAAAGAGAAATCCTCCAACCGCTAAAATCTGACGCCTCCATCTTGTTTCCATCTGGTGAAGAAGGAAGTTGCTCTCAGTGTCTTCAGAGGTTTTTGTGTCGTTTCCTTCAGTGGTTCTTGGTGCAGCGCCCCCACAGGCCAGGAGGGGAACAGGTTGGTTTGACTCAGCAGAGAGAAAGAGAACCAGCAGCTGGATGTGGAGCAGATGATGGAGTTCTGGTTCCAGTAGAACCGGGTCGATTGGACTGAAGGAGGTTGAATCAGAAAAAACTGACCTTTGACCATTTCTGCTCAACCTTTTGTTGTGCAGAAATGAAAGCACAACAAAGTCGTTCTCTCACATTATCTATAAACCATGAACATGTAGAGAAATAATTATTTTATTGCTGCAGAATAAAAATAACACATAAAACATGTTTGAAACCAGAAAGCTCCAGTAACATGATGAGAAACATCCAGACGTTCAGAATAATTCCTGTTGGTTCTGAGGGAACCGGACCTGCTGGAGGAGGAACGGAGGGATGAACTGAAATGAGAATCAATTTGACTTGAGGAGCGAGTGATGAGCTGACGCCATCAGCTGTTTGCCTCTAATGTCTCTGGTTTCAGTCATGGACCCAAACCGACCAGAACCAGAAATCACAGGAGCCCGATCCATCAGAGCCGTTCTGTTAGAGCAGTGGTTCTTAACCTTTTGTGAGGTACCGAAACCCCCCAGTTTCATATGCGCATTCACTGAACCTGTCCAGAGTGACCCCGCCTCTCGCCCGGAACGTTAGCTGGAGAGGCACCAGCAACCCTCCCGACCCCACTGAGGGACCAGGGTGTAAAGAAAATGGATGGATGGACGGTGAGCTTTACTGAAGTAATTAAAGACAAGTTCAAATCCTGAGAGTGGAGCTCCTTCCCGCAGCTGATTGGCTCAGCAATGTAACGTGATCCTCTGGAGCAAGTGATGGCGAAGCGGGGCGTCATCACGACTTTACACAGGTGTGTCTTTACCTCCACGGCAGAGGCTCCGCCGAACCCCTGGGGTTCATCGAACCCAGGTTAAGAACCACTGTGTTCGAGCCATGACAAATCAGTCTGAACTGCCTCCAGTTATATGATTATAATCATATTAATATGATGAGAAAGGTTATTGTCACAGTTTCTGTTTCCTGTTCCCATATTCACGTTTTGCTGCAGAGATGGCGCTTCAGAAATCCTCCAGGATCCACACACACTTCCTGTTCCGTATCCTGGATCCACACACACTTCCTGTTCCGTATCCTGGATCCACACACACTTCCTGTTCTGTATCCTGGATCCATACACACTTCCTGTTCCGTATCATGGATCCACACACACTTCCTGTTCTGTATCCTGGATCCACACACACTTCCTGTTCCGTATTTCTGCAGCCTTGGATCGTTTCACAGCTGTAAATAAAAATCTTCCTGCTGTTCTTTACCATCAAACGCTTCCAGTTGCTGCTGAACAACTTCTCACAGTTGCAGTGATTTTGGTTGCATAGGTTGTTTTTGTGTATCCGTGTGCCTGTGTGTATGTGCGCGTGTGTATGTGCGTGTGTGTGTGTGTGTGCGTGTATGTGTGTGCCTGTGTGTGTGTATGTGTGTGTGCGTGTGTGTGTGTGTGTGCCTGTGTGTGTGTGTGTGTGCGTGTGTGTGTGTGTGTGTGTGTGTGTGTGTGTGTGTGTGTGTGTGTGTGTGCGTGTGTGTGTGTGCGTGTGTGTGTGTGTGTGTGTGCCTGTGTGTGTGTGTGTGTGTTTCCTTTCTCTCCCTGTATGAATTTATTCTGGTTCCTGCTGAGCTGCACTCAGAATCGACTGGAGGGAAATCAGTGGCAGCGTTTTCCTTCGCTGTGTTTGCAGGGAAAGTTCAACATTTATAGGCCTGAAAAATCGACGAATTTATGAATCGTGACGTCAGGCGCTCTCGCCTCGCTGCGCAGGAAGTTTAATTCTCCGGTTTCCTGGCCAGAGTCAGCAAACAGCAGGTGGACCAGTCGGCTCGTCTGGAAAACCCTGAATAATGACGAGGAGAAAAGTTTCTGATTAAAACGTCGTCAGGCGTCCAGCTGAGTGTCTGCCACCACCGTGCTTCACCATGTTGATGTTTTGTGTTCTTCATGATGCTGGATGTTCTCTGAAGAGTCCAGAACCAGAACATCTGCAGCTGGATGCAGGTTAAATGGCCACAGATGGGCTCTGGTTGAGTGAACTGAAGGAACGTGAAAAGGTTCCTGTGGAACAGATCAGCTGCTGCTAAACGGTCCAGAGCTCAGACCTCACTGCGTCGCTATGGCAACCCTGACCCATCATTCCTGCTGTTTAGCAGGACTTTCCCCGTTCGCAGCGCTAGCTCAGAGAGCAGTCTCTTAGTTCAGTATTTTCAGAAGATGCTAAGCTAACAGAGTGCCATTCTGCTGCGGCCCGGTTCCGGTTTGGTTCCACCAGATTTCAATGCTTTATGGAGTCTGGTGAGCTGGACGTTCCAGAACCTTGGGTCAGTTTGCTGCGTCTCCCTGGATGTGATAATCCAGTGTTTTTCAACCACTGTTCCGCGGCACACCAGTGTGCCGTGGAAATTATTCAATTTCACCTATGGTACCGTATTTTCCGGACTACAAGCTGCTACTTTTTTCCTAAACTTTGAACCATGCGGATTGTAGCCCGGTGCGGCTTTTCTGTGAATTTTTCTTCAACCACCAGGGGGCTCTCTAGCAGGAAGTGAATCATCAGAAGTCAAAATTGTAAATCAAAGAAGAACGCCTTAATTTTCATTTAGAACAACCACATGCTAGTAGCAGGCACGACGGAGAAATGTTTTCAAACTCATATGGTGCAGCTTTTAACTTGAAGACTGTCGATCTGGGACTACAGGAGGTAAATAAAGCCGCTGCACTTAAGCTTGGTGTGAACAAAACCATGGTTAGTAGTGGCTAGCGGCGTAATCATGTATTTTTTAACCACTAGATGGCAGTAGGTACAGAGCATTTTACATTAAAACAAGAGAATTAGTGATGCATGAACGTTGCAGGTAGTGGTGAGAGCATCGTATCTAGCAAGACTGTAACAACAGTGATGTAAAAGACAGTGAAGCTCAGCAGTAGTTGGAAAGAACGTGGGTCCATTTCCCACAACATGTCTGTGTGAAGTGAGCTTCCCAAGCCTGGATACTATAAAAACTGAAACCAGAGAGAGGCTGAGAGCTGTTGAGGAAAAGCTTTGTCTTTCTTCAATTTCTGCCAGGAAATCAACTGTTTTATCCAAACATGCACAGGTTTCACACTAGATGGGTAAAATATACAGATATTTTGTACATGAAGTGAAATCTTTCCCAAATATTATTGCTTCTTTCAGAATAAGAATTATTTTCTGTATTCCGGCTATAAGAATGCTTGTGGATTAGTTTGTAAAACACTTTGAAGTTTTCTACAACTTCTTTAAATTTAACACCACAGTGTTGTGGCTGTTCAGGTGTTCAGGTGTATTTCTGAAGTGGACATGTTACCTGCAGTTTGAAATAAGAAATGTAAAATGTGATAAAAATACATTTTTGTGTTTGATTCCTATTCAAGACACTTTGATAAGAATGACTATATATGTAATATAGGCAGCTACAGAGTATCTTTGTTTACATTTTTGGTTGGTGGTGTGCCTCGAGATGTTTACATTACTGTGATAATGAAGCAGGCTCCGGGTCAGTTCTGGGTTGGTCGGTTCTGGGCCGGATCCAGGTCGGTTCTGATTTCTGTCCGTCTTTGTGTCCACAGGCAGACGGACAGCCATGGACGTCCTCTGGCTCGTCCTCCTGTCCTGCCTCCCGTCCTGCCTCTGCGACATGCTCTGTCCGAAGCGCTGCACCTGCCAGAACCTGCTGCCGTCCTACACGGTGCTGTGCGCCAAGACGGGTCTGCTCTTCGTCCCACCAAACATCGACCGGCAGACGGCCGAGCTCCGGCTGATGGACAACTTCATCACCACGCTGAGACACCGAGACTTCGCCAACATGACCAGCCTGGTGAGTCCTGGAGCAGATTCACCCTCCGAGGTCGGCGGTTCGCTCTGCTCCTCTCAGCCTACTGAACTTATTACAGCTTTGATTTGGTGTCCGGCTTCAGGAGCCTCACCGCTACTCAGACACATATTCAGGCATGTGCACTTGCAGGTGGCGCTATGGCATAAAATATGCGTTTATGCTTCTGTTAGGATCTTTTCTTTGTGTTTATTCTAGGTTCTGCTTCTTGTGAGTCTGTGTACCGTCCTGTCTTCCCCGTGATTGTTCCCAGCTGTGTCTAGTTCCCCTGATTACCTCCTGTGTATTTAAGTCCACTTGTTGTCCTTGTCTCTTGCTCTGGTCTGAGCTGTCTAGTCCTGAGCCGCTAACTCGAAATTAGCATGTCCCATTAACAAAACTGATACGGGCCAAGTTTCTGTACAAAAAGTATTTGGTGGATGTTTTTTCAGCAGAGCCATGAAGAAAGCATGAGCAGAACCAGCCTGAGCTCTGAGTCCAATGAAACTTGGCACAAAACTCCCTTCGAGAAACAAAAGAAAATCATCGCAGCGGATTTTTGATTTTTTTGTTATTTTTATTTCCAGTTACAAAATAATGGCTAATTAAACATCGCTACGTATGTAGCTGCAAATTCAATTCCTCATAATTTGGAACCGAAAATTTCAAACACGCTTCCTTCGTACCTCCAACTACAAACAGGCGCTGTAAAATTGCTAAATTTGCTACGCAACTGGAAATATCGTCAAACAATAAATTAAACATGCTTCTTGAAATTTGTAAAAACATAAAGGTAGCAGCTTTAAGTACCAACTTAGACAGTCTATCAGGATAAGAAGTTGGTTTTGGTTCTATTCTTGTCCAACCCTGGCAGAAGACCCCAAGCCTTTCACCTGCATTTCATTTTTAGAACATTTTAGCAGAACCAGCTCCAGTCCAGACGGGTTCCTTGTTTCCTCTAGTCGTATCTCTAGCGTGATCCTGTGTTTGTATGTGCAGATCCACCTGACCCTGAGCCGGAACACCATCAGCCAGATCAGACCCTACACCTTCGCCGACCTGCAGGACCTCCACGCCCTCCACCTGGACGCCAACCGCCTCACCGTCCTGGACGACTCGCACTTCCAGGGCCTGGTGAACCTGAGGCACCTGATCCTGGCCAACAACCAGCTGCACAGCATCTCAGAGGGGGCCTTCCAGGTAGGAGCGCCTCAGCAGGGGGCCTTCCAGGTAGGAGCGCCTCAGCAGGGGGCCCGTCCTGCTCTGGCCGCTCTCTCTGCTGATGTTTATGAGGTGAACAGAAGAGCCTTCATTCAGTCCAACCTTATCTTCACTGAGTTGTCTGAGTGTTGGGAACGTGGAGCTCGGCTTTGTCAGAGGAAAATAAAATCATGTGAGGATGAAGTTTGAAAGCGCTGCCGGCGCCATGCCAACGCTCTGGATGCGGCTCAGCGCTCAGAACCTTTCCATTCTGCCAACAAGTACTATGAATCATCCGACCTCGCAGTCGGACGGCCTCTGCCAACAATCCTCTGCTGAAAACTTATTGAAAGTCATTAAAAGCGGCTCAGAGTAGCTGTGGTGCTGCGGGTCAAGTGGTTCCTGGCTCCATCAGAACCAGCCGGCCCAGCCGGATGTCTCTGTAATGACCTGAGCAGCACCGAGCGCAGCTGCTGCAAGGCAGCGTCAGGACTGGGAGCAGGATGAGCTTCAGTATGTCCCTGTCCTGTCCCCTGCAGGACTTCCTGGAGACGCTGGAGGACCTGGACCTGAGCTACAACAACCTGGTGGACATCCCGTGGGACACGGTGTCCCTGCTGGTGAGCGTCAACACGCTGAGCCTGGACCACAACCTGATCGAGAGCGTCCCCGAGGGAATCTTCTCCAACCTGCACAAACTGGCCAGGTACGGCTCTGTGCTCAGGGCGCCAGCAGCAGGCTGGGCTGCTGCGAGCTTCCTCTGGTTGGATCTTGTCCAGTAACACCAGACCAACTGGTTCTGGTTCTGGTTCTGAAGGTGTCAGAAGTTCTGGTTCTGCTGCATCACTGATGATAAAATTTATCTAAACTTCTGGGCCCAGAGGAGAGAAATTATTGTTTCTATTTCATTTTTGATTTTAATTTTTTTCTTAATAGGTGGAAGCAAAGTCACCACGGTGTCTGGCCACTTCCTGTCAGTCATCTGGCCACTTCCTGTCGGTTGTCTGACTACTTCCTGTCGGTCGCCACGGCGTCTGGCCACTGCCTGTAGGTCGTCTGGCCACTTCCTGTCGGTCACAACGGTGTCTGGCCACTTCCTGTCGGTTGCCATGGCCACTTCTGTCGGTCGCCATGGCGTCTGGCCACTTCTTGTCGGTTGCCATAGCCACTTCCTGTCGGTTGCCACGGCCATTTCCTGTCGGTCGCCACGGCGTCTGGCCACTTCCTGTCGGTCACCACGGCCACTTACTGTCGGTCGCTACGGCCACTTCCTGTCAGTCGCAACGGTGTCTAGCTACTTCCTGTCGGTTGCCATGGCCACTTCCTGTCGGACGCAACGGTGTCTGGCTACTTCCTGTTGGTTGCCACTGCCACTTCCTGTCGGTCGCCACGGCATCTGGCCACTTCCTGTCAGTTGCCATGGCTACTTCCTGTCGGTCGCCACGGCATCTGGCCACTTCCTGTCAGTTGCCATGGCCACTTCCTGTCGGTCGCCATGGCCACTTCCTGTCGGTCGCCATGGCCACTTCCTGTCGGTCGCCACGGCGTCTGGCCACTTCCTGTTTGACCAGTGTCTCCCAGCAGTAGAAATCCTGCAGACTGCATTAACATTCCTGCACCGCTACAGCAGAGCTGCGTCCTGATTGGCTGGAGGCGGCAGGTGTGAGTGGGTGTTGGATCCGGGCGGATGGAGGATGGGCCGGGCCGTTTGCTGCGCTCTTCTCTCTATCTCTGCTGATCCTTGGCCTCGCTCCTCCTCGCTCCTCCTCACTCGCCTCCCACCTGATCGATCGATTACCCATCTGCTCCCACCTTTTCCTTCGGCGCTAAACGCCAGAAAGCCTTAAATCTGATTTGGGAGGAGTGAGTCAGCCTCCTGTGCCCTTCCCCTCTCCTTATCTGTCTGGACCTGCCGCTTTTATTTTTAATAATTACGTCCTCTGGGCTCATATTTACAGCAGCAGAAATGAAACGCTGAAAACTGGCTTCACAGACATTTCTGCTTCCTCAGAAAAGACGAGGAAAACAACCAGTTTGCAGATCGGTCGTCCTTCCGGGACGTTTTCATGGCTGCTTTTTTAAAAACCGCTGAGGCCGCAGACATGTGGCTGTTGCTTCAGATTTTACCGGGATGAGTCCACCAGGCTGGACATCTCTGTGTCCCTGTGTCCACCAGGCTGGACATGTCTGTGTCCCTGTGTCCACCAGGCTGGACATGTTTGTCCCTGTGGCCACCAGGCTGGACATGTTTGTCCCTGTGTCCACCAGGCTGGACATCTCTGTGTCCCTGTGTCCACCAGGCTGGACATGTCTGTGTCCCTGTGTCCACC